TTTATGAAACGACTTCTGAAAATTGTTCTTCTGTCATTTAAATTCTTCTGAACTGCAGTCCCTGGAATGTTCCCCAGTGGTGCTGCTGCTCCTGAGGAATGTTCTGATGCTTGCACAGAGCAGCAATTGGGGCTGATCAATGAGTGTCCAGGGCGTTGTAATGCCTTCATTAAGCATAAATGAGTTCACAGCTAATCCTTTTCCAGTTCTAAGGCAGTTGCATAATAAGTAGGAAATATTGAGCTCATAATAAAGCTCTTAATGATCTTTCCTACAGATCTGGTGGAGTTCACGGATGAGGAAGGGTACGGACGATACTTGGATCTGCATGATTGTTATCTCAAGTACATTAACCTGAAATCATCAGAGGTGAGAGCCTGCTGTGTCTGGGCACCTCCAGTGCTTGGTGTGGCAGGGTCTAGAGATCCCCAGGCCCTGCACGGGCTGGGACTGCTGTGTTCTGGGACCTGGATGTTAATTTGGCTGTGTATGAACTCTGACTCAGCTTTTCTTTTCTTAGAAATTGGATTATATCACTTACTTATCCACATTCGACCAACTCTTTGATATTCCTAAGGAGAGAAAAAATGCTGAATATAAGAGGTAAGCCTGTTTACCTGCTTCCTTTATGGCAGTTGGTGAGAAGGAATTTGCTTCTGAAGTATTCAGCTGCTGAGATTGTGATTAACTCCCATAAATTGGGTCCCTGGGCTCAGTTGTGTGTCTGAGCCCCAAGCAAAGACATAGTGCAGCAGAGATGTGGAGAGCCACATTCTGCTCTGAGGAAGGGCCTGACTGTACCCTCGTAACTGCTGTGCCCAGAAATTCTGTGGGGAAAACTGTCCTGACCTCAGTCACCTCCCTCTGCAGCACTAGAGGGTAGTGACTGTCCAAAGATGTGGGTAGAGGATGATAGTGAATTACCTGTGCTTGTGCTTCCCCTGCCAGGTACCTTGAAATGCTCCTTGAGTACCTGCAGGATTACACAGATCGAGTGAAACCGTTACTGGACCAGAATGAACTTTTTGGGAAAATTCAGACGGAGTTTGAGAAAAAGTGGGAGAACGGCACATTCCCAGGCTGGCCGGTGAGCAGCCTGAGCCTGTGGGATGTTCTGTGTTTGAGGGGTTTCTATGAGTTATTTGTTTAAAGTCATTGCTGGGGGTGACCCTGACAGGGCTGCAACTCTGTGTCACCAGACTGCAGGGTAGTACTGACCTGAATTTGAAACCCAGTGCAACTGGTTTGAAATGAACCTTGTTTCAGGTTGGCATATATTGCATCTTTACTATTGTTCAATTTTCAGTTTAGTGAGGGGATTTTTCTCTCTGAAATGAACTGTTTCTCTGGAGGTTAAAATGTTCTATGGCCTGAAGCCTTGTGGGATGTCATGCAACTCTTGCATGTGGTTTTCTTGGCAGAAAGAGACCAGCAGTGCCCTCACCCACGCCGGCGCCCATTTGGACCTCTCGGCCTTCTCCTCCTGGGAGGTGTGTTTCCAGTGTTCTGCACTTACTACCACATTTGGAGCAGGGGGAAGCTCAGTCATTTGATTTCTTGGCATAATTTTAGTGCTTTCCTCCCTGGCTCTGTGCTTTCTGGGTAAAACTTCGATGATGCTAATGATTTAATTTCTCCAGCTGGGGGGATGTAGCTTGAAGGACCTGGTTAGATTTGTCACATTCCTCATTTTCCAGTGAGGAGGGGTGCACCCTTGACAGTCCTTTCTTGAATACTTTTCATCAGATTTTTTATTTCTTTAATGAGTTAAAAGTGGACTATATCCATATTTTATGTGTTGAACAGATCATCTCTTATAGTGGTTTATTTAATTGAACAGGAATTGGCCTCCTTGGGACTGGACAGGTTAAAATCAGCTTTGCTGGCCCTGGGGCTGAAGTGTGGTGGGTAAGGTGCAGTCTTTGTTGAGTTCCTTTCAGTTTTTGAGGTCTTCTGTCTCACATTCCTTTCTGGGATACTTATTTGGTCATCTCTGTGTACTAGTATTACCTTAGTGATGTTTGAAAGATAAAACATTAAGAACCAAGCGGCAGGTACTGAGATCTGCTGCTCTGACCAGATCCTCTACTGGAGTCTCTGGTACAGAAGACTTTGACTTGAGGAAGGAAGGCAAAGATAATAGGAATCTAATGATCTCATAAAAACTACATTTAGAATTTTGTTGCATGAATTCAAATAGTTCTCGGGAAATGTAAAACTATGGTCTGGACTGATCCTCTCCCTGCTTCTCTGTAGGACTCTGGAGGAGCGTGCTCAGAGGCTTTTTAGTACTAAAGGCAAATCCTTGGAAGCACTTGACCCTTCCTTGTTTGCTAAGAATCCAAAGACGAAAGGAAGCAAAAGGTGAGTTCTTAGAGATCATTCTGAGGCTGGTGATGTTCTCTCCTCTTGGATGAGGGGTGTTCTGTAATGGCCACTCTTGTGTAGTCGTTACAGAGAGATTAGAAGCTTTTCATGTCAGACCAAATAGTGCTGAACCAAATGGAAGATATCAGAGCTCAACTTGTGCATTTCATAAAGTTACTCTATCTATTTCTAGAGACACTGAAAGAAATAAAGATCTTGCATTCCTGGAAGCTCAGATTTATGAGTATGTAGAAGTTCTTGGGGTAAGGATTTTATTTTTTCTTTGAACTTTTTATTTCAGAGCTGTCAAATAGTGACTGGTCATCCACATCTTTACCCAGTGCTTTCATAGATAGCACCACATCTATTTTGTGCCTAAGTCACATGGTATTGCAAACCTTTACTTGTTCTGCCTTGCTGCTTGCCTTTGGTTTGGGGGGATTGTTTTCAGCAGAGTGGCTGCTGCTGTTACCTGTCACCATGGAAGTGCAAATGGTGGTACAAGGTTTTTGGTTTTGGCAAGTAGGAAACGTTAGGGTACTAAAAACTGAACTTGTTTGGCTGAGTAGGGTTGGAGTTCTGTGCTTTATACTGATCTTCCATTCCCTCCTTCTGTACATTGAGAAAGTTTCAACTTTGTTGTTGTCACAGTGTGTGAACAATGCCTTCTTTTCTCCAGGAACAGAGACACCTCACCCATGAGAATGTGCAGCGTAAGCAGGCGCGGACTGGGGAGGAAAGGGAGGAGGAGGAGGAAGAGCAGATCAGTGAGAGTGAGAGTGAAGATGAAGAAAATGAAATTATTTACAACCCTAAAAATCTGCCTCTTGGTTGGGATGGCAAGGTAACTGAGACTGTCAGGCCTGGAGAAGTGGGAGAGGTCACTCCACACTGCTCCCTTGCTTGAGCTACTTTGCCATGCAACCTAATCCTTGTGTATCCTCATCTTCTTGTCTCCTCGCTTGCAGCCCATCCCATACTGGTTGTATAAACTCCATGGTCTGAACATTAACTACAACTGTGAGATCTGTGGTAACTACACCTACCGAGGGCCCAAGGCATTCCAGCGGCACTTTGCAGTAAGTGATGTTCACTGCAGGAACAGCCCTGCTGTGTTCATACAGTCCTTGTAGAGAATCACTTGGGAGTCCCTGGGTAGCAATTCTGCCCCTTATGACAGGGGTCAGGGCCATGCAGTGGGACCCATAGGTTGTGTAGGGCACACCGAGATCTCTTCTGCTTATGCTGAACAGTCACTGTCTACAGTACAGGAAAAAAATACTTTCATAGAAGCTTTTAGGACTGGTAGCTTTGTACTTTGGTAGTATTCGTTGCACCCTGTTCAGGTGTTAATGTCATTGTGGTCTTTGGTGGTGTGGAGGACATGGCATTCCCTCTCATGCTGACCTCTCATCTCTTCCCCCGCAGGAGTGGCGACATGCCCATGGGATGCGGTGCCTGGGCATTCCCAACACGGCACACTTTGCCAACGTCACACAGATTGAGGATGCAGTCTCATGTAAGTAGTGATAGCAGAACAGGGAACATGTGAGAGAACATCACCTTTTCTGAAGGGGTGGGTTTGGACATTGGTCTCGTGTCCCATCCTGAACTATCACTTTAAAGCCTTGTTTGCTGCAGTTCTGTGCCTTTCAGTAATCACACAGGAATTATAACTTTGTAATGGATGTTAAGTACATTTCTGAACTGCTGAATTGTTTTAGAAGAAGGGGGGAAAAAAAGCTCATGTATGTATTTTACTGCATTAAAAACGAGTATCTCAAGGGAAATGGCATCAGATCCTGTTTGACTTTGTGTTTGCAGTGTGGGCAAAGCTGAAACAGCAGAAGGCTTCAGAGAGGTGGCAGCCCGATACAGAGGTGAGCAGTGAGAGGTGTTCAGTGCCTCCAGTCCCGTGTCCGTGGGACCCTCCCATTGCTGCGTGGGAGCAGTGTCCTCGCTTACACAAGTGCCTTTTCCTAAGCTTCTGTCCCAAGCTATTTTTCAACAGTGTGCAGGGCAACAGTGGGAAATACAGCCTGTAATGACTGGCTCTGGATCAGCTCTTTTTCCCAGGACCTGCTGGCAGATCTGTTGCCTGTCTTTCTGCACAGAGGTTCTGGCAGGGGTGCTCATGTGTAGTGGCTTCTGCTGCAGCTAAAATTTGAAGGCTGTTCCCAATGTCTCTAAACTGTTATGTTCCAGGAGGAATATGAAGATTCCAGCGGGAACGTGGTGAATAAAAAAACCTATGAAGACCTGAAGCGCCAAGGGCTGCTGTAGCTGTCCCCAGAAGAAGGATCCCACATCTGTGGAGTGAGTGGATGTGGCAGCAGCTCTGACTTCTTCAGTTTCTGGATTTTGTATGTGCATGAGTATAGATTACAAGGATACTTTATAGAGTCACTTTGTAGTAAGCCCCTTGTGAAAAGCAGACTTGTGACATTGTTTTATATTCTAAAGTATCTTGAAAAATAAACTCATTTTAATTTAGGAAGTGCCGAGAGACTTGTCTCCTTTCGTATGGTGGAAGGAAGAGGTTTGATTACAATGTGTTTGAAATGCTTTTTACACAGTTAGAGCTTTCAGAAACAATTCCTTCTTTCACTCCCACTCTGATGGAAATGTTTATGGTGAGGGTTGACTCTGAAGTACGTGGACTTGGACACTGTGTGCTGACAGGTAATGGTACTGTTCTAGATCTGGCTGTGAGCATGTGGTTTATTTTGGACTCCTTTGCAGAACAAACTCACCTGGCTTAAGGGCTGCTTTTACCTTGGATCTGTCTGCCTGGGGAGCTTTGGCCACTGTGTTTTTTCAGGGAATTACCAAATGAGCTGCGTCAGGTTGGGCTGTGGGGACAGTGTATGGTGATTTCTCTGGCACTGCTGGTGGCTTGAAGGACCTGGTAGGTTCTTGTGGTGCAGGAGGACGGAGATGGGAACAGATGATGCATTTAGAGGTGACTGCTGTGACTTCAGCACCCTTGGCCCCCGGTGCCGTGCTTGGAGTAGCCTGTATATACCCCACAGATTTGTGCTGCCTTGGGAATTGCAGGTCCATCGTGCAGAGGCCACGTGTGTCACATGTGACAGTGGCAGTCCTTGGGCCACCCAGCCCCTCTGGTGTAGTGGTTGCTCATGTGACATCTCCAGCCTTGCAAGCCCTTTCTCTGTTGCTGTGCACAGCCATTTGCGTCTCTGCTGCTGTGGAGCCGCAGGGGACACTTCCCCTGGGTGGTGGCTGGCAGGGGTGGAGCTGGGCTGCGGGACCAGTGCCACAGCACCTGCTCAGAGGTGCTCCAGTGCTGGCGGCGGCTGCAGGTGCAGGAGCAGACAGACAGGTGAGTGCCATGGGCTCTTCTCCTTCCCCCAGAGGGCAAGGTTGTTCTCCTGGGATGAGGCCACGTCAGATGGGTTCCTTGTTGGTACCTTGTCTGCCTTGGAGCTGGGCTGGAGTGGCACTGGGCTCAGTAGGGATGTCCACAGCTGGTCTGATTGGTGGCTGCCATGGTTTGGAAGGTGAGAGGCGCCAGTTGGCATTGTCTTGTCTTCTCTGTCACTGGTCTGCACAAGCTTTGGCCACTCCAGGTCCTAGGGGAATGGTGACTCCGCCTAGGTCATGAAAAGGAGGGGAGTGTTACAATTTTTGGAGAACTTGGCCTTGGAGCCTGTTTGGATTCAAATCTCCACTGTTTCCTTAGAGAAACAGGTAAAGATTTGAAATGAAAGTAGAGAGCCAGGCCACATCTTCACTTGCAGCAGCATGAGTAAACTGTTTTGTGGTGGCAGGTGTCACTGTGTCACCCTGCACCCTGCTTCTGCAGCTGCCTGCAGGGCTGTGCTGCCTGCGAGGCCCAGGGAGGGTTGTTGCCACACCAACAGCATGCGCAGCTCCCCAGGGCTCCTGTTCCCCGGCAGCGGCCTCAGTGAGTTTGGGGAGTCTCTCAGGAGGGAGCGACTGGTTGTCACTGGGGCTGAGTCCTGGAGGTAGAGCCCAGAGCTGTGCTGGGGTGTAGCAGAAACCCCATACTGGGGTGTCTGCCCTGCACCTCAGGGGGGCAACTCTGACTGTGTCCTCCTGCCAGGTCCGGTTGCAGCCGTGGTGGATGACGATGGCCCGTCGCCGATGGCTTGTCCCGCCCGTTCAAGGTAACAGGGGCTCTGGTGCAGCACCAAGAGTGTGTCCAGCCCCCATCCTGGGTCTGTCCCTGCCCCAGCTGTTGGGGCTGTGCCAGAGGCCTCCCTGGGATAAGGGGTAGCCACTGGCCCCCTGGGGCTATGGGAGGGTGGGGAGTATCTCTGCTCACTTGTTTCAAGGGTGAGCTGCCTTGCTGCTGGGGAGGCTGTTTGGGCTGTGGGTAAAGTGGGCAGCAGAGGTGGTGGTCTCAGCCATCCCCATTCAATTCCAGGCCTGCTGCTCTGTATCTTGGCTCTGCACATCCGTCTCCAGGACTCTCTTGCCCCAGCAGGTGAGCTCTGTACCCAAGGGAAATATGGGGGCCTGTGGGAAGTGTGGTGCAATGGGGACTTCGTGCCTCTCACCTCCAAACTGTGTTCTGTAGGACAGAGCTGCACTGAGGAACCTTTCCTTGAGCTTTTGCCCCTGGAAAAGTCTGTTCTTCCCAGGCAGCATGGCTGGAAGCGAGAGAGAGAGGCTGTTGTAACATCTCTCCATAGTGCTACTGCAGGGGGCTTCTGGCTCTGACCTGCTTCTTGGGCTGCCCAGTCAGTAGCTGCACACAGACTCTGTTTGGGACATCCTGTCACTGACTGCCATCCACCTCCCAGCCACAGTGGGACAGATGTTCCCACAGGTCCTGCTGGACCACGCTGTGGCTCAGAACAGAACACAGGGCTTGCTGAGTGTATTTTTCCTTGTTTCTTTCACCAAAGGGGAACTTTGTGTCTTTCAGAGCACAACACAGTTGCCAACAGCACGGTGGTGGCTGCCAAGAACACCTTGTTGGTTGCTGCGGCCACCAAGAACACCTTGGTGACCACCAAGAATGCCTCACTGGTGGCCACAGCTGTCAAGAACACCACCAAGGACGCCACAGTGGTGGCTGCCACCAAGAATGCCTCACTGGTGGCCACAGCCGTCAAGAACACCACCAAGGATGCCACAGTGGTGGCTGCCACCAAGAATGCCTCATTGGTGGCCACAGCCGTCAAGAACACCACCAAGGATGCCACAGTGGTGGCTGCCACCAAGGATGCCACAGTGGTGGCTGCCACCAAGGATGCCGCAGCAGTGGCCACCACCGAGGATGCTGCAGTGGTGGCCACCACCGAGGATGTCGCAGTGGTGGCTGCCACCAAGGATGCCGCAGCGGTGGCCACCACCAAGGATGCCGCAGCGGTGGCCACCACCAAGGATGCCACAGTGGTGGCTGCCACCAAGGATGCCGCAGTGGTGGCCACAGCTGTCAAGAACACCACCAAGGATGCCACAGTGGTGGCCACCAAGAATGCCAGAGAAGTGGCCGCTAAGGATGCTGCAGTGGTGGCTGCTAAGAATGCTACAATGGTGGCCACCACCAAGGATGCTTCAGTGGTGGCCACCAAGAATGCCAGAGAAGTGACTGCTAAGAATGCCGCAGTGGTGGCTGCCACCAAGGATGCCTTAGAGGTGGCCGCCAAGAATGCCTCAGTGGTGGCCACTGCCAGCAACACTTTGGTGGCTGCCACCAACACCTCGGTGGTGGCCACTGGCAATGCCTCAGTGGCCACCAACACCTCTGTGGATGGTGCACAAGAGACAATGGTAAGGAAAGTAATGGAAAGAGGGGCATTGCTGGGCCATTGCAGCCCTACAGGCAGTGTCTCTTCCCCAGCTGGTCTATCGTGAGAGCCAGAGTGCGACGGGAGCATCTCCTGGCGAGGAAGGGGAGCCCTGTGGGCAGAGGGGGGTGGTCCCTCCAGACAGTGAGGTTGTGGCTGGGGACAGCCCCGTGGTGCTGTGCAAGGTGGCTTTGCTACATGGTGACACCCTGGTGTGTTCTCCCTCCAGCTCACCTGCCAGAGTTTTCAGTGCTCCGGGGAGAGGTGTTACCAGGATGAAGCCCATTCCAACAGAACAGTCACCTGCCATAATAAGACTTATTGTGAGGTATGGCGATGCAGGGGGGCTGCAATAGGGAAACCTTTCTCCTTCTTTATCTGAGCAATCCACAGTGCTCTACTAAGTCTATGTCCATCTCCTGTTTACCTTCTTTCTCTGGCAGTCTGTCAGTTATTTCTGCTCCTTTGTAATGGCACCTCTTCACACTCATTTTATCCTTTGACTCTGCTGTTGCAGCTATATCGTTTCTCCAGTACAAACTACACAGCCAGGTGCAGCAGCAGGTGTGGTGTGGGGCTGTGCAGGACCAACAGCAGCGAGAGCAGGCAGCAATGTGCCCTGGAGTGCTGTGCCACTCCACTGTGTCTGCAGCTCAACGCCAGCGCCTACGGTAAGAGCCGAGCTTTGCTCTGTGGCACAGAAGGGGCACAGGTGGGCAGAGCCCATTACAGAGGGGCTGTGGCTGCATCACCGTGTCTCTTCTGCCTGGGGGCTTGCTCTGTCCTTGGAGCTGGGTGAGGGACAGGGTGGCCCCACCAGCTCCGGCTGCAGTATGAGCTGCGCTGGGGAATCTGTCCCTGTGTTGCTGTGGAGGGCCCTGTGTACCGGGTGCAGCCTCACAGGGCTCCTTGTGTGTCTGCAGGCGACCTGCCACCCACCACTGCTCCACCAACAACTGCCACCACCACCCACCGACCTCCCTCCCAAAACGTAGGTACCACCTGGGCAGAGGCTGCTGCAGCCATGGGGGCTCTCTGGGAGCTGCGGCTGCTGGGACAGCTGAGCTCCCACCTGAGCAGGAAACAGGGAAAGGTCCCTCCTGCATCTGCTTTATGAGGTCAAATCTGCCTCTGGAAGGGGAACAAATCCTAAATGGGTATTGGAAGTAAAAGATCAGTAAGGAGCCTGTCCATTGGGCCTTATCCCTAGCCCAGCACTTGCATCAGCTCAGGCAGTTTGACTTGACCGTGTAGCTGAGCCTTCCTGCAGCTGCAGGGAGGGTGCAGGATCCACTGAGCTCTAAGCCCTTTCCTGAGTCTAGTGGAGGGGAAGGTGCTTATCTTTGCAGAGCCCTGTTAAGAGGAAGAAAAAGGAGGCTTGAAACATGTTTGCTCCGCTGGTGTTTCAGTAGTTTCATTTGGTTTCAGATGGGCCACTGATAGTCTTTTTTCTCTGGATCTAAAATGCCTTCCTCTCCACATGCATGTCTGTCAACCCATCCCAACAGAGGGGGGTGGGAGAGGAGCCCTTAGGAGCGAAGGGCTGACTGAAATACAGTGAGAGTCTCATGGATATATGATGTTCTCCCCTGGTCCTCTCTCACAGGGAAAAGTGTGCACAGCATTCTCCTGTCATGGGGATGGGTGTTTCAAAGGCAGGAAGACCATCACTAGATGCATCTTGGGGCAGGACTTCTGTGAGGTAAGGCCTGGGGCTGCAGAGCAGGACAGCTCCAGATCTGCCATTGTGTTCCTGTAATGAAAATACCAAAGGCTTGGCATGACCCCTAGGCTGATGTGTCTCTTCCTTCCAGATGAAGAAGACGGGCTTGAATTACATGGCTGGATGTAGCAAAACCTGCAAGGCTGCCAAACCAGTCTGTGCCAGTGGGATGAAGGCTGCCTGTTACCAGGAATGCTGCCCAGCCATCCCAAAAGCCAGTTGTCTGAAACTGGATGGCAAAATTCATATCAATAGCTCTGGGCAGGTGATACTGGCCCCATTCTTGAAGGTCATGGCATGTGGGGTGGTCCTTGTCCTGAATTACAGGGCCTTCACTTCCCTCTGGGGGTAGGCAGTGGTCGGGACCCTCCACAGCCTGCCCTCCTGCAACAGAGCTCTGCAGCAGCGCTTGGTAGGATCCTGTTGCTCTCTGACTTCAGCCAAGGCCACTATCACACACTCTCTGTCACATCCCTGTCACACTCAGAAAGCTACAGCAAGGGATTCTGCCCTGCCCCGCCCAAATCCTGTAGGCCTGAGAGACCTGCAAACTAATTGCGAATCCTGAGAGCCATGCAGTGTGTGCCTCCGTGCTGCTGGAATGAGGGACCAGGAATGAGAAGGTGTTAGGCCTCCTTAAAAATCAGAAAATTCTGCCTTGACTGAAGGCACAGGGGCTTCTCTAGTCAATGACCTGCTTGTGGTACAGCCTCCCTGGACCCCCTGTGACCTGTATAGTTCTGAGCAGTTTAGTTCTGAACTGCTCTAGCAATGTAATGCCTCTTGCCTGGGTGAGTAAAATGTTTTGTCTCCAAATCCTAGGCAGGAAAATGGGATTACTCTAAAAGTATCTCATGTTTTAGATGATCCTGTTTCACATCTGTGGTTCTCTGTTGCTAGAAGCAGAGCCCAGATGTGAACCTGTGACGTAAACACCCCCAGTGCTCCTCGAGCCTGTTCTTGCAGCGCACAGAGCTGGTGCAGACCTGGTTGGGCAGTCAAGGTTCTGCCAGTTGTGCACATGCTCATGGCGCTGTCCCCTGCAACCGCTCTCCTCTGCCACTGCTGGCTCCTTAGAGAAAAGATTGCAAAATATTAAAGTCTGTGTTTCAGCCCTCTGGCCTGTGCTGGTGTTTTGAGTGTGGCTGAGCATGGTGTGACCTGCGGGAGGGCGAGAGGGCTGGGCTGGGCAGTTTGGGTCCCTGGGAGTCTTGTGTGCTCTTCCAGCAGGAAGGTTTTATGCTGCCAGCCCTCATAGAGCGCTCCCAGCCCCAATGGGCACTGCCAGCCTTGATGTGGTGTTGCTGCCTGAGCAGCGGTGGAAGCGGATGTGGGGCTGGATAGAAAACGCTGGAAAACAGCTGCCCCTTCCTACTTTATAGCCCCTGTTCTGGTGTGGCAAAACCACGGGGCGTGGTTTTAGTTCGTTTCAGGCCACAGAGTCAGTGTACCCATGGCAAGTGAAAACAGTCTGAAAACTAGGGTTCTTCTATGTCAAAAACATCCTCCAGCACCCTGTTTCTTGGAAGGCTTGGTGCTTACAGCAGGTAATTCAGACTGTTTTCTCCTCCATTATGGGCAGCTGCTGGAGGGGGGAGGTGGTGCAGACCTGTCACTGACAAAGACCACTCAGATTTTCTGTCTCTGGCCCTACGTCCCCTGTGTCTGTGCAAGGAGCTGATTTAGGCCAAACTCTGTTTTTACAGTACAAAAGACTGGTGACATTTTACAGCATCTGCTCCCACGCTCTGTACTAATTTATTTGCATAATAACCTGGCAGCTCAGAAGTTGGCTTCTGTGCTGGGCTGTCTTGAAATTCAACAAAAAATAATTCAAGCTGCTACTTAAAAAAGGACATCTCAGGATTTTCCTTGGAAATTAACTTTTTCCACATCTGCCAATCCCAGAGCTTCCTCCTCTCCCTCTCCCCTTCCTGCCGGGAGGGGCCAGCCGCAGGCCGTGCCTCTCCCGCCGCTCTCATCCCGCGGTGCAGCATCCGCTCGGCCGCCGTCCATCCGGCCGCGACCCCTCCCGCCCCGTTATTTCCGGCGGCTCCGAGCCCCGCCCGCGGCCGGTCCCGGTAACGGAGCGGCGCCGGTGCCGGCCCCGGCTGGGAGGAGTCTGGGGAGTCTGGGGACGCCGTGTCGCATCGTGTCGCATCGTGTCGCGACAGCCGCACTGAGCGCGCCGCCGCGGGAGCCGCCGGGTCCCGGCCCCGGGGAGCGTCACCGGCGCTGCCGGGGCGGAGATGGACCAGTCGGTCGCCATCCAGGAGAGCCTGGCGGAGGGCGAGACCTGCCGGATCGTATCCTTTGATGGGCCCCGGTGGCGCGGAGCCGTGCGAGGTGGCGGGGCCCCTCTCCGTGCTCCCTCCAGTTTGTCCCCGCCGCTCTCTGGCGGTGTCCCCGCTCCCTCCGGTTTGTCCCCGCCGCTCTCTGGCGGTGTCCCCGCTCCCTGCCGCTGTCCTGCCGTTCCTTGACCCGCGGCCGCAGGCGGTGCAGGGTCTCCTGGCCGCGGGGGAGAGCGTGGAGAGCCGGCTGCTGGGCCTGGTGGAGCACCGCGGGCAGCACGCGTGGGTAGCGGAGCGGGGCAGACAACATCTGAGAGACACGGGAGCTCTGCGGGTCCCTCACGAGCCTCGGGAGCCACCTGAGAACCTCCTCCCATCCCAAGGGCTTTTCACCCGGGGCAGTCTCGTAGGGCAGCAGTTTGAAGGCATGATGCCTTGATGTTAGGGGTGGTCACTAAGAAACCCCAGGCCCATGAGGTGCTCTGCTGTGCTCTGCCAGTAATGTGAACACGTTATTTAAGTGATGGGGTGAGCAGATAGGTGGGTACGTGGTTGAGAAGTTACTTTGGGGTTTGCATGAGGCTGCGCTAGCAGGTGCTGCTGGTGGGATGGGGTCTGTATGTGCCTGCAGATGTGCCAGAACTGAAGAGTCTTTGCCTCTGTGTCGGCTCTGTGCTTGCAGGATCTATGTGTACACTCACCGGCGGATGGCCATCACAGCTGAGGATGTCTGGCTGGAGAGAGTAATCCCCGTCACAGATGGGTTTTCAGTGGAAGAAGGTACTGACACACTGTGATGGCTCAGTGGCCACGTCCAAAGAAGAGGATGGAGGGGTTTGGAGTGCATACTTTGTTGTTCTGCTTCCTGAAGTTTGGAATCTATTCTGCCTTTTTTCTTTAGTTTGTAATCCCTGGTGACACTTGTGTGTCACATGGCATTCCTGGCAGGGCTGTTCGAGGTTTGGAGCACCTGTATCCCACCAGGCCCCAGCCACGGCCCCTGCCTGGCAGGTTTGCTCTCCTGGCTCTGTTCCTGAAAGGAGCATTTGGGGCTGGAGGAACTTGCTGAGCTCACTGACCTCAAAGTATCAGCACAGCCTGCAAATCTGTTGCTTAGCTTTCAACAGAACTTTGTTTTACTTTTGCAGTTGTACTTGACAGTGACCATCACGTCATTGGTGAGTTCTGTGCATGTTTTTAGTGCCTGTGTCACAGATGCTCTAGGCCCTGTGCCAGCTGCAAACAGTGAGGCAGGACTGGGGTCTCTTGTCCTGGGGGGGAGCTTGACAGGGCGGGGATTTGTGTCCTGCTGCTGTTGGGGCACTTGCCGTGCTGTTGGCCATGGTAACTTACTGCTAACAAGCATCATCAGCCCCATTCAACCAAGGCAATGATTTTTTCCAAACACTTTTAAACTGCTGCTGGAAAATTAATTATTGTCACTGAACAAGAAGAATAAAAATTATTATAAATGGTCATCTTTATATTTTTAAGTGGCATTCTCATGTAAAATGTTGGAAAGGAACATGATAAGGTATCATGGGGAGATGTTGCCAAGGGCTGCGTGCATGTGTGCGTCCACCTCTGTAGAGTGGAGAAACGCTCGGTTTCTGAAGGCTTGGCAGCATGACCCACAGGAGCTCTTTCTCCTGATGTTTCCAGGCTCTGACGTGACTGTCCAGATCAGCTCAGCAGACGACCGGCTGACCGTGCGGCTGCCCTTCGGCTCCCACACGCGCACGTTCCTGCAGGAGCTCAGCAGGTGCAGCTCAGGTACGAGCTCTGCGGGTGCAGCTGTGACGGGGGAGGGTCCGACGGTCCAGGAATGTTGGGTTTGCTCGTCTCTTCTGCGTGTGCAAGAACAGCTTTGGCCTGTGCTGAACCTCGCTCAGCACTCACCCTTCCCCCGTGACGATTCCCCATCGCCGGGCGGCTCGGCAGCGACAGTCGGTGTTTTTTTGAGGGCAGAGGCGTGTGCTCTGGGCCGAGCTGAACGGGCTCCCGGGGGCGGGCCGGGGCGGGCCAGAGCGGACGCCGGGGCAGGGCTGGGCCTGGGGGCCGGGCTGGGGCGGCCGGCGGCGCCGAGCTGCGGCGATGTCCGCGGGCGGGCGGCCCCGCCGAGGTGAGCGCGGGGACCCGCCGGGGCGGGCGTCTGTCCGGGGCGGCGTGGCCGGGGCCGGGGGCGGGAGGCGGAGGGGCAGCGCCGGGCTCGGCTCCCGCTGCCCCCGGGGCAGTTCCGCAGCGGGCGCGGAGCCGCCGCCGGGGTCCGGCGGATTTGCGACCCGGTTCCTGTGCCCAGCTCGGCTCCGCCGGTGGGCACGGGCTGCGCCGGCCCCGCCGCGCCCGGGGCCGTTTCCTGCTTTGCAGAGTGGACGTGTGAGAAGATTCCGAGCTAAAGCAACTCCTGGAAGTCAGTATGGGACTCTAAACCTGAATGTTGCCATGTCTGCTGTGTGCTGCTTTGTTTAGGCTGGGCACCTCTCACTGCATGAAGATTAATTTAATTCTCCCCTTTGGACACTACATATGGATCCTGCCTTATCCAGGAGATATGATATATTTTCTTGCTGTAAAGCAGTATAGTACAATGTCACTGCACATTCTTAACAGGAACGCCTTTATTACTGCTTAAATCTCATTTAACTGCAAATCCTGTCCAACTGAGACCTGCTGTAATCTCTGCACATAGCTCTTTATTTCTGTACTCAGTTCAATTATTGAACAAGGTTATTATTCCTTCAGAGTGCTACCCTCTGAAGATACCTCTAGCTACAGCAATCTGTGACTAGATACACATTTATTTAAAGGAAATAGCCCTTTTCCAGGGCTAATCTCTTTCTTAGGAGAATCCTATCTAAAGCTGATTTCCACCCATGAGGTTAGAATGCAAGGTATCACGTGTGACTGTGATCTTTGGATCACGTAGCAGCTATGTCAGCAGCAGGCTCACACGTCTTTCCATTCTGCACTAATACCTTCTGCATGCTGGTGAATGGCATCATCCCATGTGGGTAATAAAGCCTGGGATTCTGCTCGCTTCATGGCACAAAAGTAACCGTTGTCTACTGAGGTGAAAGTTCAGGTTGGTTCCTGTCACTCTTGAGGGACATTGCATGGTCGTTATGGGGAGAGCTTGCAGAGGTCCAGGGACTGAGCTCAAGGCCCATGGAGAAAATGCTGTGTCCCAGCTCTCCGGGCCCATGCTTCCCAGGGCATCTCTGTGTGCTCCTGGTCAGTGCTGCATGACTTGGGCTGTGTGATCTGCAGCGAGGTTTGAGTCATGTGCTCTTCTGCATCAAGCTCTGATAAATCCTCTTAGTCTATTCTCAGAGGGTTCTTGGGCAGAAGAGGTTTGTCAGGCTGAGAACTTGGTTACCTCTTGCCAGCTGGTTTGTATCCCGAGAGCCTGGGTGAAGTACTGCAAGTTCTATTTATGGTTTGCACTCTTGTCCTGCAGAATGTTCTGTGACAGCAATAACATCTTAAATTTTTCTGGGTTGTGCTTGAAGGAGAAGCTCAGCTGAATGCCTAGAATTTGACAACCTTAACAATTTCTACATCATTATTAGATTTGTGTGCTAAGGAGCATGATCTTAAGATTGCTGTTTGTGCATCTTAAACACAGAAACTCACTCCTAGAATCCTCTTTTTTAACTGTTATTTTGCCACTTGTAGGAGCAGAATGTTGTAACTGAAACAAAACACTGAAAGACTGGTCAAATTTTGCTAACGTAGTGTTATGTGGTTCGTGTCACACCTGTGGTGAGTTAGATTTGTGTGGTAGCAGCCCCGTTACTGTTTTAGGAGTGCAGTTTGCATTAAGGCAGAT